AATACCCACGGTCAGGTATCACCATTTTACATTTAATTTTTTTTTGAATTGTTAAAATTTTACTAACGATTTTAGATGATAGGCACAAAGCTATCACGTACTAAATGATGAGTCACGACCTGTAAGGCACACGGAATAATCTACAATTCCTGGCCTAGGGTTACAATTATTCTGATAGAAATTTAAACGGGTTAAGCAGTCTTCATCTATAATCCGTACCTCCGACTCCCGTATGTATTTCCTTTTCAGGAAAAGGACCAAACGAGAGAAACTATCAAGTGCTCAAGGCTTCATACTTCAACACTCAAACACTTGGGGGACTACATAATATACACAAGTATATATAAAGAAGGCAGAGAAGATTGAAGAAAAATCAAGCCTGAAAAAGTCAAGTGCAGAGTAATAAAAGTCACACGAAGTCATGAGCCAAGGCTAAAGAAAACCTTACTGTAGTTAGGGTAAAAGCTATATACTGAAGCAGGTTGTAAAGAAAAACCTTGCATTTATTGTTCTAAAACGGGTTATAAAGAAAAACCTCGTGTTTATTATTTTTTCTTAAAAATCTGTTACAAGGAAAAACAATTACGAGAAAGTTATAGATGTAATTCAAATACATGTAAGATGTTATTCAAAACTTGTCAAGGCTCAAAATAAAAACTTGTCAATGTTATTCCAAAGAAACATGCGTGTTCCTATTTCTTTTATCGTATGCTAACACCATTATGAAGTTGAGACGTCTTCTTCATTAAGTGTCGAAATATAAAAGGGCCGTCTTTTATAAAACTCATGTTTAAATCATGAGATTAACAGAAGCATTTTCAAATAATAAAAATGCAAAATTATTCTATAAGTCCTTAAGAATAAAGGCAAGAATAAAAGCAAACAGTAGTTAAAACAATAACATAAAAAACTTCTTGAATACTTAAGACTAAGTAAGAGCTTAGTCACAAAACTATGAAATTGTTTATCCAAATTGCCCTGTGAAAGACTTGGGGACTTTCGTTCCAAAATCAACCCTCAAATGATAACCAAGGGTTTCATTACAAAAAAAAAACTTTCAAAAGAATCCAAGGGCCTTAAACATAGTTTTCCAAAAAGGTACCTGCAAAAAGGGAATTTAAAGCAATGTAAATTTTTTCACTAAGAAGAAAGAACTGAAGAAGGATCATCAACGGGCTCAACTTGGGCAGGATCATCAACGGTTGCGAGTTGATCTTCATTCACAGCATTAGGAGCACCAACAGACGAGGTCTCACCTTGGCTCGCAACGTGAGGCACAATTGGGCTTAAAGAAGGTAAGACACCCGTGGCGATTTCAGCGTTCATAGGAACTTCAACAACGGGAGTTTCAGCCACGAGAGTTTCAATCACGGAAGCTTCATCCTCGGGAGATGAAAAATCTTGTGTTTGTTGAGCTCGTTCAATGGTTTCATTTACCTTGGCTAATTCTAATTCCAGGTTGTAGCTTTCTTGACCCATTTCCAGTAAGGTGTCGCGACGTGAATTTAAGAATGCCCAACTTACCTCAACATCAGTTTTCTCTTCAAGGATTTCATAATCCCTCTCCCAAGCAGCGACATTATTCTTGAGTTCTTCATTCTCAGCCATGGCAGAACTATAAGAAGATTGAAGGGTGGCATGAGAACTCTCCAAAGCATGCACCTTATCAATAGAGGCTCGAAGATCCTTCTGTGCCTTAGTAAAATTCTGAACAAGCTCCCCGACATAAATTTTTTTTTTTGATTCAAAAGATCCTTCAACGCCCTGATCTCTTCATTGGCCTTGGATAACTGTTCCGAAAATGAAGACTCAAGGCGCTCCCGTTCCCTCTCTGACTGACTCGATGAAGCCTTGGTGACCGCCAGCTCCGAAGATAATGCTCGTACTTGCTGTTCTAAGGTACTTCTTCTCTCTTGTAAATCCTCCATGTCAATTTGAGCGTTGTCAAACTGTTCCTTCCAGTTGTTCGCTTCCAACTGGGAATCACGTGCTACCTTCTCCAAGAGGGAGATTCTGCTCATCAGCTCAGTGCCTATAAGATTGGCCTGCGTAAAAAAGAGAAGTAAGAATCCCAAAGTCAAAAATTCTTATAGAATGAAGAAAAAGTAGGAAAGAAAAATACCTTTAAAGTGGCATGCACTATGTCATTCATGAGAGTTAGGTTGCTATGGATCTCAAGCTTTGCTTTCTCGATGGGGCCAATCAAAGGCTCGAGCCAAATATCAGCTTGACCGGGCTTTCTCAAGAGGCTGTTGTTAGCAGGAACCTCAATGGTTACGCTCCTCATAGCAGTACTCCTACTTGAAGAACCTACCTCCGCATGGTGAACAATAGGTGGAGGAATTGCCAAAGGAGGAACGGTGGAAGAAGGAACAGAAGCAACAGTTGATGAAGGTAAAGAAGCAATCACAGGTACGGGAGATGAAAAGGAAGACAAGGGAAGCTCGTCTAGAACAGGCCCTAAGTTTCCACTACCAAAACCACCAACAAAAAATTGATCGACAGACTCACGAGTGTCGTGAGGAGAGATGTCATCATCAGGAATGATAACTGGAGTAATAACAGGCTCGGAAAGAGACAAATGAGGGGAGACTTTAGCCTCGTCATCAGAGACGATACGTCTCCGGGCTCGTGGTCTCATCACCAGGGAACCCTCATCTTCTTCCTCTGAATCTTCCTCCTCAGTAGCTTTTCTTTTTGAAGAACCCAAGAATATATCTTGGGCTGAAGAGGTACGAGTACTCAAAGAGTCACGAGAAGCTATGATTGCCTCTGTAGTAACTCCTGGGATAGCAAATCCTGATAAAAAGAAGGATAAAAGTTAGAACAAAGAAAATATTTATATACAGACAAAGTAAAATGGGAACTCTTACCATGAGTTTTTACTTTCCAACCGTAACGGTTGGAAAGGTTTTTCCACAACCTACCCTCCATTGGAGCGGTCTTCAACAATTTTCCTACCCAACTACGGAAGTTGGGCACGGTCTCCAAAACACCCATGGTTGCTGAGAGAAGTAAAAGTAACGACATTAGAAAAGTTGATAATGCTTGCAAGGAAAAGGCACGAGGAAGATTTAATACTTATGTTCAAATTTTCGCTTCTCAGGAAAAGGAACGTTATTTTCACCCACTAAACCAACAGTGGGGGCAGCAACAAACCGAGCATACCATCAACGGTCTTTATCGTCCGCGGGGCTCACTAAAACCCTTTTGCTCCTGGCTGCTAGGGTAAACACGCCGTTGCGAAAAAGCCTAGGGGAATAGAGATGAATTAGGTGGGGAAAAGTAAATTCAACCTCCGCCAGGTTAGTAAGGTGCCTCAAGCATGCGACAGCCCTCCAAACAATCAGACCAATTTGACCCAAACACACGTTGAAAAAACGGCAAAAGTCTAGAATGACCGGGTCAATGGCCGGTTTAAACCCTAGAGTGAAAGGGTATGTGTAAACAAAAGAGAATCCGATTAAGTAAGAAGTGATCCTTTGATTTGGGTTAGGAATGATAATTGGAAAATCGTCACTCCAGTAACAATCTTTACGAATTATGGGAGTTAAAATATCTGTGATTTGAGTGGGGAAAGCGTCAGCACGATCTAAAGAGGCAACTTGGGTCCTGAGAGATTCTCTATCATGGTGAAAAGAAATTTCTGTTGGGACTATTTCTTCAACTAGAGGCTCACGAAGGGGCTCAGAGGATTCTTTATTCCTAGAAGAAGATCTTTGAGAAAGGGAACCTCTAGTCCTAGAAGAGGGACCCGAGCTAGAAGAAGGAGTGGATGTGCTACCACCACGAGCAGACCCCAAGCTACGGAGTCTACCCCCTCTTCTATGCCTAACAGGAGCATTGGGGAAGTTATCTAAAATGGGGGTTCTCCTAGGGTTAGGGTTTGGTGAAGTTATGACAAAGAATATTGAAGTAAAGCAGAAGAAAATAAGAGGTTTTTGAAGAATTAAAGTGTTTGACACGCTTTATGTGGTAAAAGACAAGTAAAGAAGTTATATTTATACTAATGGGTGACCGGCAAAAGGAAAAAGTACAATGATGGAAGAGCTATAATAATGATAACTGACACTTCGTGAATAGGGAAGCCGAAAAGAAAGCCTAAGAAAGTGCTGCAAAACTGTAAAACCAATAAGAGGATGACACGTGTCTAATGCATTAAATGGAAGTGACAATTGAAGCGTCGATTCTGTCAGAGCATTAATGGTGACAAAAATTCTCTTTTAAATGAATTTCACTTCCCAAATATTCAAACTGATGAATAAATGGAAAGTGGGGGGACTATCTGTATTGGAAAAAATTGTATTTTATATATATGGTGACGTGTCAGGACACGTGGATTGGTCAAATGGTCAATGAATCACAGTTAGGTACGGTTCAAGAGTTGTAAAACAGACACGAGGAAAGAAGGAGGAAGAGGCACGGGACATCAGATAAATAGCACGGCGCCCGTACCTATTTAAATTATTTATATCCGGGCATCAGAAGGAATGAATCTGGTTATAAAAAAGCGTGCAGATACAGCATTTAATGGGTATTAAATGCTGAGTCCGTTAAGGAATACATATATTCAATGTAATGATTGTGTAACGTAGCATTCAATGTCTTTAATTATTCATAATAGCCTCATTATGATTTGGCATAACGTACATTCTCAAAGGTACTTATAAAAAGGAGATATATGATCAGTTGTAGGACACACAAAAAAGTTATTGAAATATACTTTGGCATCATCTGTTTTTCTTGATTCTTATATTGCTACTCAGAATTATTTCCTTTTATTCATTTCTTTAATTATCAGTAACCCGAGTTCTTCTAAATTCTAGCTTTGACTAAAATACTATTTTTTGATTAAACACATGCTAATTTAAATTAGTCGGATTAGTGAGATCCAAATATTAAATAGTTATATTAAACTGGAAATTAAGGATTGTATTAAACTCAATGTCAACTTCATCATGAAAATGAACACAACAATTTATCCAATTTAAAAAGAAAAAGATGAAAATAAATCCTTTTTAATTATTCTTTTTGGATAATGTCATGTTACAAAAGATGTATTTCACATACAATTAAGCTAAGTTGACTAGAGTTTCTTGAAGACTTTTCTCTAAAATCTCTTTTTCCCTAATCCTAATTAATACAAATTATTATCCCATCATAATTTTTCTTTTTTTCACATCACCATCCACTATGCTTTCTCCCAATTAAACTAAGACAGGAAAAAAAAGAAAATAAAGAAAAAGATTATCCTAACTAAAAAGAAAGAAAGTATCAACTAGGAGTATTTGGTGGTCCTATCAAGAGCTAAAGGTCAATAAATAAACATGAAGATTCAAACTTGTTGCCTCCCAAAAGCCTAAGCATCAATAATTAGCTGGCATTCCACTACTTCAATTTTGTAGTACAATCAAATTGACCCCTCAAAATTCCGGTAAATCTAGTAAGTCCCCGGACTTTATGAAAACATTGTACCAAAAGTCCATGTCGTCCTCTAATTTTGTTCCAACCATGTCCATACTTTCTTGCTTCACGGAAGAAAATGGGAATTGGACTTGTAATTCTTCACCTGTACCCTCCATATCAAAATTCGAGTTATCGCCCGTGGATAAATCATCCGTCCAAAAACTCTCATCAATCTCTGGAATAAAACTTTCACACGAGTCCATCTCATCTAATTGCTTAAACATATTCTGATTATCGATTGTGATGGTCGTCATGGCCGTTGAATCGGCCGTGACAGTCGACATCTCGCTAGACGATCGTTGTGGCGAGTTCGGGCCGGTCACGGGCCCATTAATATCTTCTTGAATGTTGCTAAAATTGCCTGAATTATTGAAGGTCCGAGAAGTACTAGGAGCTTTGGAATCAAGGTTGTTTTTGGAGTGTTTTTTGGAGTTTTGAGGAGGCTGATAATTTTTAAGCCTCTTTTTCAAGTGGGTGTGCCATACATTTTTAATTTCATTGTCCGTTCGTCCTGGTAATCTCGCTGCTATTGCAGACCATCTGAAAAAATAATTAAGGAAGTTTTTATTAGTACAAAATCTAAACAAATATTTATAATTATAATTTAAAGAGAAGTGGACAAGCATTAAGGTACGTAGTGCTTAACTTTAATTATTGTGTCACAAGAACCTATAGAGATAGGAATCACATGACTTGATTTGTTTAGCAAGTTAATGATATAGATTTGCTAATTAATGAGATTAAATTATGTAACTACAAAACTGTCTAAACGAATCTTTTTCATATATATATTTTGATTATTCCTTGATACAAACAAAATGATAAGATAAGTACATTCTGATACTTTTCTTTTGTTTAATCTCAATTAAATTTTGTAACTACTCTCTGAACAAAAAAGACAAAAGTTTTCCAAAGATAAAATATTAGCATGCTTGGCATTGTCTTTATAAAAAGGGGAATTAAAAATGAAAGAAAGTCTGATTATTTTTTCTTCTCTCTTTTTTTCTTTTTCAGTGAATAATGATTATGAGCATGCAAAGGCATTACTGAATATGATAAAGACAATACTCTAAAAAAAATATTCAGCTTTTAAAGTTGTGATCATTATTCTTCTTGCCGTTGCTCTCTCTCTTTAGAATTCCTTTAATTTCTTTCTTCTTTTTATTTAGTTTTAAGAAAATAATGAAGGGATTATATGCATGTGATAGATCTAAAGAGGAAAGAATAATCGAGGAAACTGTTTAATTAATTAGCAAATAAAGAATATAGGTGAAAAATGGAAAATTATGATTTTTGAAACTGACCTATTGCCAAGCATTTCATGTAACTGAATAATGGAGTCTTCTTCTTCTCTAGTAAAGTTTCCCCTCTTTATATCTGGACGCAAATAGTTAGTCCAACGTAATCTGCAACTCTTCCCACATCTCAAAAGTCCTGATAAATCCAAAAAGAAAAAAAAAACAATTAATAAATGATTTTTTACTAGTAAAAAGTTCAAGAAAATGTTAATACAAAAATAGGTTTTCATTCTCTAACAGAATGCTACAAATTCTAAACCAATCTTTTCCAACTTTCACCATTTTTTTTTCCCAATCAATATCTTGATCACGAGAAGGGAAGCTTGGAGCAACAGTCAAGCTGTCTCCGCATGACTTATAAGTTCCAGCCATGAAATCAGCTACTGGTACTTGTATCAGGGTGGGGTGCCTATATAACACCCCTTGGGGTGCAGCTCTTTCTCGGATTCTGAATAACGCGGGATACTTTGTACACCGAACTACCCCGTATCTTGATCATTCATATCAAAAAATGAAAAAGAATTTGAAGGAATTAATTAATTACCAGCTAGTTTAGGGAGGGCTCTCCAATTGCCATGGCCATTTGTTTGAATATAAGAAACAAGAATTTGATCTTCTTCAGGAGTCCATGGTCCTTTTTTCAACCCCATCTTCTCACAACAAGGAGCTCTAACCATTTTTGCTTTAATCACTTGCTAATCTTGATTTGTGAATAAATGACTCTTTAATCAGTTGGTTTTATTCTTCAGAAGTAGTATATCTTTTGGCTGTGGTTTAGCTCTTTTTCAGTGCTCTCTTCTATTCAAGAAATGAGAAAGGCCAAGGATGGCTACCTATTTATGCTTGTAAAATAACGACTTATTTATAGCCAAAAAAATCCAAGACCAGCGTCTCATTTTCAAAAAGTCGTCCTTGCTTGCGATTTCCACGAAGTTGGATCTCTCTCTCTTTCTCTCACTAAGAAATAATAAAAGAAAATAACGATTTGAATAAATATATCTTTTACATGTTGTACGACAAGTGTGTATAAACGCTCAATTCCAAAATGGACTAACTGTATGGGTCAAAATCCGACCCCACGATAATTAACGGAGTTAATCTCGTCCTGAGCTAAGACATAATTAATGAAGTGGTATGGCCACTTATTCGTAACAGGACTCGACTCTTGTCCGATTTAATCTACGAGGGTACGGCCCAGTCATTCCCCCATGGGGACGGAACTTCAGCATGGCCACGGCCATTTATCGCCAGCTCACAAAGCTCACATCTATAAATACTAAGAGCAGTAGCCCTAGAAAAGGGGGGGGCTTCTTGACCACTAGTGAGAGGAGAGAGAAACGAAAAAATATACCCCTCTTATGGAAAGGGAAAAACACCATTGTAAGGCTCTGAACCTCTTCATGGAGAGGCAGACCAAACAAATATTATCAATAAAGGTTTCTAATGCTTCTCCCCCTAATTCTGAGTTCTTATTTTAGTTTCTTTCATTTGGTCCAACGAATTATTACGATTTGCTATGATTATCCCGGGATTAATTTATATTGTTTTGTACTCGTAAGATGTGTAACATTTTTTGAGCAAACAGACGGTATATATGTCGATAAGAAAACCAATAATGAATTATACATATTTTGAGTATGAGGGTTAAATTGATTAATTAAATATCATATATATTAACATAAAGTAACATGCCATGGATATATAGGTCGTGCTACGATCTAATAAAAATGGATTAATTATGTTGAAGTTTGAGTCATTCTTGAGCCGAGGGTCTAACAGAAACAACTTCTCTATCAGGTAAAGTTAAGGTTTGTGTATATACTATCTTCCCCATACCATACTTATGAGGATTACATTGAATATGTTATCGTCGTTTATGTTAAAGCTTGAGTCAAGATCCAACCTATCAAGTTAAAGATTTTTTGCCATAACGCAATTGTCCAAGTCAAAACTTGTATGCATACAATGTGTTGTAAAAATTGGGTAAAGAACTTCTCTCGTTTCTCATTTATTTCTTTTTTATTTTTTATTTTAATGCATCACTCACTTATCACGTCAAAATTGAGTTAGTTACAAAATCTTGGGCTGATTTTGCCAACCTCACTGCAGGAATAGATCTGAGCATAAGAAATCACATACACTAGTTGAATTTGAAAATCCAAATAAATTAAAATACTTATTTTCCGGGGCAGGGAATCGAGTGAAAATAAAAATGGGTTATTTGAACCCAATACTTTTGGCTGAGACTCTGTATATGCATTAAAAATTTATTTAAAAGTATAAATAATAAATTTTACACCCCGCAAATTAGATGGATGGATAAAATATCAAATACCAACCCATAAAGTTTAAATTTTTAATCTGCCTACGCTTATTCTAGCTTTTTCAATTTTTTGCCATCCACAAAGGTAAAATAACGAAAAGGAAAGAGAAAAGTAATTTGAACAAATCAAGTTTAAATATTTTACGTTAAGTGGGTGGACTTAGTATAAGTGATTAGCTTTGAAAGCTTGTTAATTTAATTGGTAAGAATTTGTCATGAAGTGATTTGGGGACAAAGTGTAATCCTGCATGGAAATTCACGAAATCTTATTTATATTATGATAACTCAAATTGAATATTTCGAAAATTTGTCATTATTTTATTGGGAAAAAAGAAAATATAGAAAAATTGTCGTCACTACATGACAGTTAGACAAGTTGGGATTCTTATTATTAAAAAAGATTTTTCTGCTGTGAAATAGTCACATGGGTGTTCTAATTTATTTTTTAGTTTTTCAAGGACCAAAAGATAATAATACAGTAAATATTTAGGAAGCTGGGTCGTGGGTTCTCAAGTTTTCAAATGGTGCAACTTGGTCCCCCTTATTACATCGTTATAAAGTTTTAGTGAGCCAAATCTGGCATGCCAGTGTATTTTATTCCAAGTCAGTTTGCTCTATAGTTTATTAAATAATAAATACTAAACTATCTTTAGGGTCAAAATGACACAAATGGTCCATTTCTCAACTGATATAGATAATATATCGATATGATAATTATACTTCGTGTATTAATTTGATTAAATATTCAGGGGACAAATTAAGACAATTGGTTTTCAAAAAAAACATAGTGAATTTTAACTACAAAATGATCTTTATTTCCAAAAAACAAATCAAAATGTTTTACAATAATGTCATATTATTCTTTTATTCTAAAAAATAAGTTTATAGAGATCTCCAATCACGTACAGTCAAATCATTATTTTGGTGGGTAAATTTTTATAATTGGTCCCCAAATTGTCTCTTTTTGTTCACCATAATCATATAATTTTGTGTTATCACACAAAAATCACAATACTCTCACAAATATAACAGAAAAGTTACATCAGCCGGAAACATAACCGTTTGGTGAATGTTGTGATTTTTTGCTATGCTTTCTTTGAATCGAGAGTTTCTACCTTCACAAGGTAGGATAAGGTCTGAATACACCCTGTCCTCTACAGACTCCACTTACGAGATTACACTGAGTTTTTTGTTATTGCTAGCAGTTGATTGGTGGTAGGAGAGTATTGTGATTTTTATGTAACAAAACAAAAAGTTACGTAATTTTGATAAATAAAATAAAAAAAGATAATTTATTGACTATTTATGAAATTTATACTCATGTTTTGGAAAAATCGTAAAATATTAAATATATTAATTAATCAAACTAAACCCCAAAACGCCACCATTTGATGAGACTTGTCTTCAAACACAAAACAGTTGTTTGCTTTAACGCCACCATTTGTTTGGCCACTTGCCTGTAGGTATTCTTAATCACACAAAATAATGCTTTTTTCTAATAAAATTTTATTTAATAACAAAAAAATTCTCATATCTAATCTATTCTTTATTTTTAATTCTTTAATAAACTTTTTTTTCAACAAGATAATTAGGTGAAATGTTATAAATAGCTATATAATTAGTTATAAAAATATTTTTTCGATAAACATTTGAGATTAGGTTTTAGAAATTAATAGTACTTTGATCCTTATGAGATCTATCTGAGTCTATTAATCTTCTTGAAATTTAATATATAATATTTTTAATCATTAAAAGGGTATTTTTACTATGTACACTATTTGGTCGTGATCGATGTCTGTTGTTTAGTAGTGCGAATTAACATAAAGTTATATTCAAGTTAATTTCTTTTTTCGTACAAAATCGCAAAACTAATTTATATGAAAGTTACAAGAGATGGACTTTAGTGGCTACAAGTTGCAAATAACATTCTTAAAAATATAGTGCACGTGATAGTCTAGACCAAGTCAATCCACGTGATGTGCCCACTTCTATCAATAAACACCTTTTAATTATTCTCCTACTTCTTTTTAGTATTTAAATCCATACTTTTTTTTCTTGCATATTGAAAGCTGAGTACTAAATATTTCTCCCAGTCGCGCGTCCCCCCCTCCCCCCATACACACAAATACACAATCTATGCCTAGAATAAAACTCGGTAGACAAAGTATTTTAGGTTCATGCATGGTCCGGCAAGGGCCGCACCCCCTAAGGGTTTAATGGACTGGCTACCCTAATGCAAGCACTACTAGCTACTCACACGGCTTGGATCCGTGACCTATATCCTATAGGTCATATAGAGATAATCTTATGTTAAATCGTTATAATTTTTTAAACTTCAAAAGTTTTTTTTTTATATTTTCTAAACTTCGTGTTTAGTCAAAGACTGCCACATAAATATGACGACAAAAGCAATAGATTTCTCTACATTTAATACCTATATAATTATTTGAAAACCTAAATTCAACATAGTATGTGGTTTGAGCTTCATGATTTCATGGTTCAGCTCTTCACATATACTGGAAGTTTAATGTACCGGACAATACTTTACAGATGCATTTTCACTATCATATTTTTGTCGTATATGAAGATATTTAATGGTTGAACGTAAAAATTTTGGTTAGTTACACTCAAACTTTGTTATCTTATTGAAAGTAGAGTGAAAACAGTGTCACTCCTTGAAAATATCATTGATTGACTCGGTCATTATCAGATTTGCCTCTTTTTCAAATCACAACCATGTTAAAATAAAGATTAAAAGGGATTTATGTTATCGAAAAACAAAACAACAGTCAATATTGAAGAATAATATCTATAATGAATTTGGATAATTACAAAGATTACCCATCAAAAGCGAAATGATTACGAAGCAAATAAATAATACGAACAAAGAAAGGACGGAAAGTAGCCTACATTCTTAGTCTCACGTTTTATAATTCTATTTATTTATTTATGTATATTTGAATAAGAGAGTACAAATAGGAGGAAAAAGAGGAAGAAATCTGCATTCTCATTGGTGACATCGTAAAATAGTTCTTGGATTTAATGGGTAAATTGTCAAATCAAGTTGCATTCTTATAATTTGTAGCCAAAAAAGGAGAATCACAAAACACCAAAGTTTGTCCCCGAAAAAGGAAGAAAAGAAGAAGAGGAAAATGTAGAATTAATTCTAAATGGTCATTCAAGGTGATGAATTTATCTATTTTCTTATCTTAGAATAAAAAAATTATTAAATTATTTATTTGTTTTTCCAAAAATATTCAAGTAAGTGTTTTACTGACTTTTTATCCTAAAAAAACTAATTTTATTAGGTAAATTCAAGTTGAATGACCGTTATTTAGAAAATTAACTCAGAAAATGAATCAGTTAGACATCTCGACTAGTAAAAGCAATATTCTTTTTGATCATTGATAATAAATATGCAATCGCCAAGTTTCAGTGGCATAAGCTTATACTTAATAGAAAAATTAAAACATATACTACTCATTTATTAAAATTCTCATGTGCTTCGCCCAAGAA